GTAACAGTCCAGCCTGGTTCTGCCCAGCACACACTCGGCCCTCACATAAACCAGTGGGAGCTGCCGCCTAGTTGGAGACCCACAATAACCCCCACCAGGCCCGCTCTCTACCCTGGTTTGCCAGTATGTGTAGCAGACTAGTCTAGTCTGTCCCACATCCCATTCGGCTCTTGTACATGTCAATGGGTATTAAAGCTTTGTTCTCTCTATCTAGCTCCACTATGCAGCCCACACAGATGCTGTTGGGTGTCTGTCTAGCCACCCCAGCCCCTGTCCTAGTTTTCATGCCCTCCTGTAGAAGTGGTAACCCCAGAGGGAGGAGCCCACTATTTCCTTCCCAGGCCTCTCCCACTACCTGGATTATGCACTCTCCAGGTAGTTCTGTGGTCTGACTTGACAGAATTAGCCTCCAGCGCCAGCTTCTGCCAGCTGATGCTATGACTAAGCCCAAACAACCCTCACCCACTCTAATTTTGTTTGCACCAGTAGGCATAATCAGCCCAGCCTGGCTTTTCCCTGATCTAGTCCACATGAGGCGCACAGATGTTGTAGCCCTGCCTAGTCTGGTCTGCCCCCATCCCAGCTCATGCTCTCCAGTGGGAGTAGCTGTCCAGCAAGGGAACCCCCCCATATTCCCCCTGCCGGCTCAGCCCCCTCCATTCCTGGTTCTCACGTGTACTGGTTGGGTGCTGCAGTCTCTTCCGGTACAGGCAACCTCACCTTGGCATTCTGTATTGTCCACTGGTTCTTTGTTGCAACTGAACCTGGCTTGACCCACACTGTTCTGGTGCCTGGATTTGCCAGTGGATGACGTGGGTTGATTCAGCCTGGTCTGCCCCCGACCCATGCCAAATATATGACAGTGGGTAACTTTCCATGTCCTGTTCTGGGCTGTTTCCTATCATGTTTCTTGTGCTTACCTGCAGGGTCTGTGTCCTGCCAGAGGAGCTGCCCAGGCTCCTCTATCAGAACCTCTCCCAATGCCAGATTTCTCGCATACCAGGGTGTCCATGAGCCAGCCCTACTCAGTTCACCTCCTGTCCTTGTAGGAACAGTGGCTTTTCCTGACTGGCTTTCAACGCATTCTCGTCCTTGCTGTTGGATGTTTCAGCCCAGCCATGGCTCGTCCATACCCACATATGGCTCACACATGGCTCACACATGGCTCAGTAGGGATTGAGACCCTGCCTAGTCCATCCCACATCTACCCTGGTGCTCCAGGATACCAGAGGGTGTTGGAGTCTGGCCCGACTCTGTGCATCCAGTCCCAGTCCATACTTGTGCCAAGGGAGATTGCAACCGTTTCCTAATCAGAACGCAGCCCCAATTTCAGCCCACGTGCCCCTTGGTGGGAACCTCAGCCCAGCTAGGGTTGTCCCCTTAGCTTCCCAACTGGGCCTGTTCCCAGCCATAGATCACGCGCATGCCAGTAGTTGCTCTGGCTCAGCTTGGCTCAGCACCTCACCTGTCCCGGCCTCTGCCTTAGACACTGTGGCTTAGCGTTCCTGGCTCACACAGACTAGTAGGTGCAAGAGCTTATCTCGGCATGATCTGTGCTCTGTCCTGGTCTCTAGTTTTTGTTGTGGGCTAAAGTTTCTCAGTCCTCCCCAGTATATCCCATTGCATTACCAATTGACACCTTAGCCAGTTGTTGGAGCTACTTTGCCCAGCTTGTCCGATCCCCAGGTCTGGACCACATGTTCACCAGCGGGAGCTATGACTCCCCAGGGGAGTTTCCCAAGTTCCTCCACTTAATCCACTCCCAGACCCAGTTCTCATACATGCCATTGGGTTTTAGGCCAGTGCCCGGTGTAGTCTGGCCTTCCATTTGGCCTTGTATGAGCTGGTGAATGTTGCAGCCCGGCCCACCCCACACCCTATTCAGGATGCCCATTTGGATGCTGCTACCTTGACCAATCCAGACTGTTGGGGGTTCCTTTACCTGTGATTGATGGCAGACTCCTTGGTCACACCTAGCTTAGTCCATCACCACCCCATCTTTTGAGCTAACCAGTTGGACTAGAATTTCCACAGGGTTTGGCCCACACATCCCTCACAGAATCTACCTCCAGGTATGGTTCTTGAGTTAATGTAATGGCCTGCTTAATGTGACCCTTCTCCTGATCCATCATCATGTCAGATAACAGGATATGATTCTGCTGGAGAGCCCTGAGCCATAGCTTTTGCATGGACTGGTATTTGGTGGTCAGCATTGTTCAGAGATTACAAGTTTTACAAAGGAAGAGTTACTGTCTTTAGGATTGATTCACGTCCTAGACGTGTAGTGGGTTCAAACTGGAGCTACCTAAGCAGCAATTCAAAGAACCAAAACCCCAGAGGTCCAGGCCAGGCGGCCAGCAGGCGGAGCCTGGTTCCAAATGGCGCACTGGCTGCCTGGGGACAGCTCACCACGTGCACGTGGTGGCTGTCGTCTGGGATCTAGGCATGAGACTCCCGTCCTGAGGCCCACCAGCAGCCGGAAGTTTAGACCCCCCTGCCCAATCCCATGCACCGCCCAGTGAAGGCGGCGGTCAGGTCCTGGACCTGTCCAGTCACGGAGACCTCCCCTCTCTGTGTACTCGCCCTGAAGGGAGCAGTTGCTGGAGCCCAGGCAGGCCCGGGGACAGCTCACCATGTGCATGTGGTGGCTATAGACTGACAAATATTTTTCTTTAAATTGAGTGTGATGGATTTCTGCTTCTCTTGCTTTACCACATTGTTAATTATTGCACATTCTACAATTCCTGTTTGTTTCCCACACAACCCTGTCATATACTAGCTATTCTAGCTTTTTCATATTTAGTGTCAGAATTACTGTGTAACTTTCTGAAAAAATTTCTATTCTGAATTTACATTCTTAATTTACATACTCAATTTTCAGTGATTGTTAAAATGTTGTTTATGGTGAGGGACATGTATGCACATTTTATTCACTAGTTCATGTCCCAAATGCCTGCAGTGACTGTACTGGCCTGAGAATTAAGCCAGGAGCCAGCAGCACATTGTGACTCTCCCAAGCAGGGAAACAGGAACCCAACTACTTGATCCATCATCACTGTCTCCTAGGATTCATTTTAGCAGGTACAACAATGTGCAACATGAACATCCTTACAGCTTAATTGCTGCTCTGAGTACCTGTTCTGTTAGTAGCTATCCATAAGTCTGTGTGTCACACTTAGTTCAAGGCTTTGTTATTTCTGATTTTTTGTTTTTAGTAATGCTGTCACAAACATCTTTTTACCTTGGGCCTGGCATCGTAGCCTAGTGGTGAAAGTCCTTGCCTTGCATCTGCTAGCATCCCATATGGGTGCTGGTTCGTATCCCGGCTGCTCCACTTCCTTTCCAGCTCCCTGCGTGGGGCTTTGGGAAAGACCAAAGCCTTGGGGTCCTGTGCCTACGTGGGAGACCTGGAGGAAGCTCCTGGCTCCTGGCTTTGGATCACTGTTACTGCCACTTTGGTGGAGAGTGAACCAGTGGATAAAAGATCTTTCTGTATCCCCTGTCAGTCTGATTTTCCAATTAAAAACACACACACACATATATATGTACACACACACACACATATATACATATATATATAATTTTTGTGCCTAGAGTTTTTCTTTTGAACTTACTTTTCATGATAAACTCTCAAATATGGTGTTTCTGGCTTAAGGTAGTGTAATAATTAGAGTATGCTTTGGTGTGTTACAAAACGGTATTAAGGCTATAAATTGTATTTATTCAGACATTAGAATTCAAAGCAACAAAAAAACACTGCATTTCTTAAGTGGTGATCAGTGGTTTTATCCGTTGAAATGGGGTGTGACAGTAACTTTTAGTTTCAAAATTGGCTGAACCTTTCTAGAGCTTACATTTCTTAAACAATCAGTAAATGTAAGATTTTTATGGAGACATATTTATTGTAGCTGTCTTGGATATTTAAGACTTTTATGTAAAACTTAATGGATTAAGAACAAAAAGAATACATATATGTGTATGTGTATATATAATAGATCTGTCTGTAATGTTACCTTTATATAAATTATCTTCAGTATACTAGAAAATACTGATTTTAATAAATGGGACTTTCTATGTATGTGGCATTTGGTTTTAGACAGATAGTAGGCCTGGCAACATGGCATGGTAGCTGAAGCCTTCGTATGTGGAATCTGCATAATATATGGTGCTGGCTTGAGTCCTGACTGCTCCACTACTGATCCAGTTCTTTTCTAACTTGCCAAGGAGAGCACCAAAAGATGACACAAGTTCTTGTGCCCCTGCATTCGCAGGCGACACTTGGAAGAACCTTCAGGCTCCTGGCTTTGCACCTGCCCAACTCTGCTTGTTGTAGCGATTTGGGGATGAAAGTTCTCTCTTTTCTGTCTTTGTGGCTCTGCTTTTCCAGTTGGAGAAGCAGAGAGAAAGATCTTCATCTAATGGTTTACTCCCCAAATGGCTACAAGGACTGGGACCAAATGGTTCCAGGAGACTGTTCAGGTTTCCCATGTTGGTGCAGGGTGCCAAGGCTGGCCATCCTCCGCTACCTTCCTAGGCTGTAAGCAGGGAGCTGGGTGGGGAGTTTAATAGCCAGGACACAAACCACCCATACATTATGCTGGTGCTTGAAGGTGGAAGATTATTAGTCTATTGAGCTATAGCACTAGCCCCCAAAATAAATGTCTTTATTTTTTAAAGGCACAAATAGCATTTTTGTTACAAAAAAAACCCCCTTAAGATATAAATTATTATCATTCACCTTGTGTTTACATTTTACTTTTTGCTGATCAGTATTCTAGAATTTGCTTTTCCAGTTTTGAAGTGTTGCATTAAATAGATTGGTAGATTCACATTTATGGAGTTTTACTTAATATTTAATGAAAGGAATACACACAAAAAGTGCACATTTTGCTTGGGTTTTCCTTCCAGTGGAAACCTTTTGAGTGTTGAGTGTCAGATCAGTTTTGTAGTGGCGACCAGTTCCTGAAGCGGTCAAGGCTGCGTTCAAAGGCTGGGCTCAGCTTCAGCAGGCGGTCACACTACTTCCGTTTCCCTCTTCCTAATGTTGTTCATCATGCTCCTGAGAGGGTTAGGTTCATGTTTGAAATCTTTGACAGTTTTGTTTTTTACACAGCAGCAGCAGTCGAGTACTTCATAAAGGAAAGCCAGCACCACCAAAGACACTACTGTAAAAATAAATAACAGCAGGATAACAAAGCAGGCAGTGTTCCAGTTATCATGGAAGGGGTAGATCTTCTGAACTTGAAAGCCAAGATACTGATAAACGGAGGTAGTGGTTTCATTCCAGTGGCTGGATGCCATTTTTAGAGATTCTACTTCTTGTATTGTTGTTTTAAATCTGTTAAGAAAGAGAGAATGAATCTGCCACCAACTTAGAGATTTGCCCATTCAGATCTCCGTAAGACTCCTCTGTATGGTCTATCAACATTGTGCCTGGATGGTATTTTAGTTTCTTCATATATCTATGCCAATGTTCTCTATAAACCATACTCCAATTTTTAATGTAAATTTTTTGTTGGATAATCTGTGCTTAAGATTTGTACATGGAGGAGCTGGCATGGTGGCATACCAGGCTGATCCTCCACCTGCTAGCACTTGGGCACTGGTTTATGTCCTGGCTGTTCTATTTATTCAGCTCTCTACTTATTGCCTGAGAGAGCAGCGAGGATGGCATAAGTCCTCGGACACCTGTACCCGCTTGGCTCCCGGCTCCATCCTGGCCCAGCCGAGGGATCCGGGAACTCAGGATTAATCTCCTACGAGGGTGGGAGGGTCCCAGATATTTTGAGTCATCACTGTATGCTCCCAGGATGCTTATTAGCAGAAAGTTGAAATTAAAAGTAAAGTGAGATTTGAACTCAGACACTGTGATACGGGATTGGAACATGTCAACTACTAGGTCTAAGAGCCACCTTCTCAACTGTAGCAGTTTTAAGTAAAATCCAAAGTTCACCCACAGTTTTATCTCCCTAACATAACCACTTTTCTTTTTTTTCCCCCTTTTTGTTTTGCTCTGGAAATTGGCTCTGTAAATCCAGAACTGCTACCGGATTGAAATGATCACTGTGTGCTTTAATTATGAGGAGACTTGTTTTTGTTGACTTTAAAAGCAGAGAAGTTATAAAAACTAATAATGCAAGTTTTAATTTCTAAAGTAAACATTTAAATTATTAGAAAGCTGGTTTATAGAATCTTATATTTGGCTTATTTTTGAGTTCGAAATTAACTGCTTGAAACTTTTTCAAGTTTTTTTTGCTCTAGAAACATAAATAGAAAGGAAGGGGCAGTTAGGAAGGCAGACACGCAGCCCCGTCGTTATTAGAGGTTGCTTGTCCCCATCCAAATGAGGCATTCTGATCAACCTCATGTGGCTGTACAGCGGAATCAATGAACTGTAGTGGTTTGGAAAGATATTTAGTTTATGTTGCTAAGAGGACCAAAAACAAACAAACCAGAATAATGAAAAACAATGCCTTCTTATTTGCTTGTTTCTACACACGTATCTTGGGTCACCTGGAGATTAATAACAATGATTATGGTGGACAGTGGAGACACAGGAGGGATGTGTGTGGACACGACATACACATTGTCACTATTTTGGTTTCTGTAATACTTGAGTTTACTTAGATATTTAAAACCAAAATAAATATCTAAATAAATATCTAAAAGCCTTTGGCTTTTGAAAGTATTTGTTAAATATCTAATACGTTTGAGTGTTCTGTATTACTTTTAAACCATCAAAGCTAAAACAATGGGGGTGGGTGCTGTTCGTGGAGCTGAGCTACTATGTGGAGTGCTTATGTCCCAGTCAGATGTCGGTTACTCTGCTTCTGATCGACTCTCGGCTAATCTGTCCGGGAAGCAGAGGTGATGGCTCAAGTACTTGAGTTGCTGCCGTCCTTGTGGGAGATCTTGATGGAGTCCTGGCTCCTGGCTTTGGGCTCTGGCCTGGCCCAGCACTTGCTGCTGGCCACTTGAGGTATGAGGCAAGGCTGAAAATCTCTGTCTCGACCCTTCTGTTAACTCGGCCTTCAAATACTTACAAAATTCTAACTAAGCAGTGACTATTGGATTATAGAACAAGCATTTTCTTCAGACAGTGCTTTAGTAGTTATACTTGGCAAAAGTGACTTTGAATAGCAGTGAAAGGTGTCTCCAGAAACTTTGCTGGAACACCTGAGCAGTTTAGGAAAGTGCAGGATATTCACAAATTTTTTCCTGGAAAAATGCATATTGTGGTAAAACTTTATGTGGATTCCAAAACTACTTCACAGCAAAATGAACTCCACTTTGCACAAATTGAATCGATTTTGTATGTTGGGTTTATATTGGAAATGAAAATTTTTATGTAAAAATTAGCTGTTTATTCCATGTTATCTGTTTCACAATAAATTCTAAAATGTATTTACTTATTCCACAAATTAATCTTATTTAAATCAGGTTTGTGTTGTTACCCCTTGATGTTGTATTGGCTGCTGGTGAGCAGCTCAAACATTCATGCTTTCCTTAGCTTCTTGACCTATTTGGAACAGAGTCAAATCTGTAATATCGAGTCATTTTCCTTTCAAATTTACTGTGATGTATCTTTCAAAGCAAGGTAGAAGGCTAGTCATTTTTGTTGTTGTTGTTGTTGTTAGGTTAAAGACTAAATCTGTACTAGGCATAATGTGGCATGAAAAAAGTATACCACTAGAATCTTTTTGTATTCTGAGACTTTGTTTTTAAAATTAAAGTATAAGTTGGGCCCGGCAGTGTGACCTAGCGGCTAAAGTCCTTGCCTTGAACACCCCGGGATCCCATGTGGGCGCCAGTTCTAATCCTGGCAGCTCCACTTCCCATCCAGCGCCCTGCTTGTGGCCTGGGAAAGCAGTGGAGGACAGCCGAAAGCTTTGGGACCCTGCACCCACATGGGAGACCTGGAAGAGGCTCCTCCTGGCTCCTGACTTTGGATCAGCATAGCATTGGCCGTTGCGCTCACTTAGGCAATGAATCATCGGATGGAAGATCTTCCTCTCTCCTCCTCTCTGACTTTCCAATAAATAAATATACTTCAATTTTTTTAAAGATTTAAGTTTATGTCAAAAAGATACCTTTTAGGGCCCGTTGCAGTAGCCTAGTGGCTAAAGTGTTTGCCTTGCATATGATGGGATCACATGTGGGTGTCAGTTCTAATCCCGGCAGCCCTGCTTTCTATCCAGCTGCTTGCTTGTGGCCTGGAAAAGCAGTTGAGGATGGCCCAAAACCTTGGGAGCCTGCACCTGCATGGGAGACCTGGAGGAGGCTCCGGATTTCGGATCGGCTCAGCTCTGGCCGATGTAGCTGCTTGGGGAGTGAATCAGCGAATAGATGATCTTCCTTTCTCCTCTATGTATATCTGACTTTCCAATTAAAACAAACAAAAAAAGCAAAGACAAAATAAAGGCACATTAAGGTACACTTTTCTGAATGCTTCCTTCTAAAATTTCATTATTCTGTCATTCTTTTAAATAAAAATAAGATATATATATATGTGTGTATATATTTAAAAAGTGGACCAATATTGTAGCTTTGTGGGTTAAACTACTGCTTGTGACACCAGTATCAGAGTTGCAGTCCCATCAGTTCACCACTTCTGATCCAGTTCACTAAGCAGTGCTTGGGAAAGCAGTTCATGATCCAAAAACGTCAATATGGAGACCAGATGGAGTTCCTGGCTCCTGGTTTTCATCTGGCCCAGCCTTGCCCCTTGCGGCCATCTGGGGAGTAAACCCGAGGGTGGGAGTATCTTTCTCTCTCATTGTCACTCGGTTTCTAAAATAAATATGTATTATTGTTTTTTTAAAGTAAAATTTTAGTACATTTTTAAGTATGTGTTTTAGAATTGTTCATATGTTTGTTTTTTTATATTTCCTTCTTTTCGAAAGGGCTCAGTAGACTATTTATGGGCATGGGATTTAGAACTCTTGTGGAACTTTGGATTTCCAGATCAGAATAAAATTACGTATTTGTTTTGCATACGGTAAGAACCTTGGATTGAATCCTTTGGTTCCTTTAAGTGTTTCACTGTGTGATACTGTCAGTCAATAAGCAGATGACAGCAGCTTCTCTGGGTCACGTGCTGGAGCTCTGACGTAGAACAGGCCTTGCAGTTTGGTAAGACAGCAGCGAGCCTCGGTGTGTGCTCACTCACAGTGGTTGCATTGTGAGTGAAATGTAGGCTGATGATAGTGTTGAAACAGGGTGAAGGGAAGGAATTCTTCTTGCAGCTTACCTCAATTTATTATTTGTAAGTTAACTTATTTGTCCACATGATTTCATCTGAGATGTGTGCGTATTGTATGTGTTGGGGTAGCGGGGTGGGCTACTGTACTTTGTAGGTAAGCAGGCATGGTTTCTAGGTAATTAAATCCATTGTGCTGAACCAGAGAATTCTAGTATCTTGTTACAGCCTCCATGGGCTTTGCAAAGGGTTATTTTTCTCATGCTAGCTGAATGCTAAGAAATAAAATTAGGAAGAAAAAAAACCTCAGACCTAAAAGAAACAACAAAAAAACCCAAAACCCATACCTTTAAAAATTAGACAAATTTACTGGTAAGATAAATCTGAATTCTTCAGATTGGCATATATGATAAATATACTGGAGCTCTAGCTTTCTTTTAAAATAATGGTGTTTTTATGCTTTAACAGTGTAAAACTAGAAATTCTGTCAGCAGTTGATACGAAATCTTAATAGACAATAAGGGACTGCTGTGAAACATGAAGACCTTCTAATTCTCTAGAAAGATACAGTACCTCTTCCCTTAACCAGTTCTTCTTAGGACATTTCCTTTCAAAATGTTGTTCAAATAAAGAAGATCGATTATGCATTTGTCTTGAGGACCAGATAAGAGTAAATTCACCATTTTAATGTTTTTGAGGTTTATAAAAAAGGGTTTCATTTAATAGCCTGGCTTGTTATTGTAGGATAAATTTCATTGTGAGGAATTATTTTAATTAAAACATTAGGACTTGGTTATAGTAATAATGGCAGTCCACATAATTATACCATTTATGGTCTTTTTTTTTTCCTGCAAAAATAAATCATGATTACAATACTTTTGGCATTTTTCTGCATCTGAACTGCAAATCCAATAGTTTTGACCTATTTTCTCAAATTTATTAGAATGTAGTAAACTTTCTTGTATTCCTTTTAACCAGGCAGTATAACTTACACACAGAATCAGAAAGCGTTAGTACAGTATTTTTTTAGTCTAGATTTTTCCTTAAGAAAAATCCTTTGTTAATACAGATGAAACTGATTAAATGAAATTCCTCAGAGAAAATGAATTTTGTAACAAGTAAACATCAGATGCTTTTGATTATTCTATAACTGAGCATTGATACATTCATTTCATATAAAACATAATGAATTTTTCTCTAAGGCACAGATAGCAAGGGTGCTTTTCAGATAGCACAAAGCACTCTTCATATTTTCATAATAAAATCCTTCCAGACAATAAAATGAACACAGTGCCATTTTTTGGTCTTTAGTAGTAGCAAAGGTTTCTGGTTGATTTTTATGGTAAAGTATTTTCATATTGCATTATAATGACATGTACTGTTAAATAAAAAAGGTCGTTTAAACCTACCTCTTGCGTGAGAGCCTGCTGTTGAAGCGATGGTATCGTCTGTTTGGAATGCAGTCTAGTGCACAGCCAAGATGGAGCGGAGCTTCTATTGGTTGAACCACAATGCAGCTGACAGTTTCCTTTATGCTCATTTACATTAAGTCCTGCCACCCTGAAGAGTAAATCATTCATAAACTTGAATAGAGCCGTCTGGATATTAGCTGTCAAGCCTTTTCCTTAATTTTTTTGTGCCTAATTTAAATTCTTAAATGGGAATTTCTGAGTTACTAGCAAATTGATTATTTCTTGCTATTTCACTATGCATTTCAGATCTTTGTGCGAGTCTTTCAGTGCTGGGGCTAGAAGGTAATGTCACGGGCGGTAGTAACCTAGGAAACAAATAGTCTAGCTTTACCAGCTTGCTGTTTCTTCTAGGAAGTGTACATAACGTCTCATTAATGAGGGTTTTTTTTTTTTTTCTTTCTTATAGAAATCTTGATCCTATTGATTTAGGGAGAAAAGGAGTAATTTATTTTTTTAGCTTTGAAAGTTGTGAACGTTGGTTTAGGGTGTATGTCTACATTGAAAAGCAGTCACACTTATTTTTTAGAAAATATTTATTTGAATGGCATAGTGATTGAGATATTTTATGCAGTGGTTCGTTCCCCAAATGCCCACAACATCCTCCCCTGGACCAGGCCTAAGTTGGGAGCCTAGAACTCCAGCTGCGTGTCCCACATGGGTGTTGGGCTCAATTTCTTAATCCACCTCCTCTCTCCTCTCAGGATCTGTATTAGCAAGAAGCTGGAGTCAGCCGCTGGAGCCAGGAATTGAACACAGGCATCCTGTTGTGGGATATTGTAGGGATTTAATGGCCAGGATGAATTCCCACTCTCATAAACTTACTTTGTAAACTTATGCGTAGAACAGTGTTCTGTTTTCTAGAGTTAAAAAGGAGTATGTGAAAATATCCTTACTACGTTTGTTCTCGTGACACACAGTACTTGAATGTTCACTGTACTTGATCTGGATCAATTTTGGTACTGGAGACTCCGTGACAGGCCAGCGTGTATGTGGATCATAGTTGATCATTTCTATGGTGTTCCTAACAGGTTGTCATCTTTTCATAGTTTTGCCAGTTAGTTTTTTTATACAAGTAGTGTAGGATGAGCTTACAATTTTTCTAAAATTAGAAAAGTACTTACTTAAAAGATCAGATTGAAAAGATTTTCATCTGCTGATTCGCTCTCGGAATGCAGACAGCAGCCAGGGGCGGAGCAGGCTGAGGTCAGGAGCCATGAAGTCCGTCCAGGTTTGCCTGTGGGTGGCAGGGAACCAGCGCTGTGTGCCGTCGCCTGATTCCTTGCAGGGTCTTTGTTGAGAAAGCTGGAATTGGGAGTAGAGACTCAGACTCAGCTCTGATACAAGATGTAGGTGTGTTTTGAAACAACTTGTAATGCTTAACCACTATGCCAAGCCCAGGGCCCATCTTCCTCAATTTAATCAGGGAAGCATTAAGTGTGCTTTTGTGGATTTCTGTATTGTAACATGGTTGCCAGTGTGAGATGAAATACAGAAAGGATTTGCAGCCGGATTTGAATTTGTGTTGTGCCAGTTACTACCATTTTCTTGTGTTCAACGAGGATAATGCCTCTCAAATAAGATGTTTTGGAGGGATTGAATGTGAATATCATTTTAGTGGTGTTGGACAGATATTCAATAAATGTTGCTACTTAGTAACATTTAGTAATTGTTAAAATTATTATTACAAGTGTCCTAACTCCTTGGGAACACACACATAAAGAATTCTTTCTTTTAAAAATTATTTATCTGTTTGTAAGTCAGGATTACAGAGGAGGGGAGAGAGAGATCATCCCTTTACTGATCCATTTTCCAAATGGCTGCAACAACGGGAGCCAGGCCTATCAGAAGCCAGGGGCTTGCAGTACTCCCATGTGGGTCCAGGGGCTCAGGCTCTCGGCTATTCTTCATTGCTTTTCCAAGTCATTAGCAGGGAGTTGGGCTGAAATGGAGCTGCTGGGACTTGAACTGGCACAGCAGGAAGAAGCTTTGCTAGCTATCTCAGGGTGCTGGCTCTGTAAAGCATTCTTTTTTTTAAAAGATCTATTTTTATTGGAAAGTCAGATTTACAGAGAGAAGGAGGAGAGAGAGAAAAAGATCCTCTATCTGCTAGTTCACTCTCCATGTAGCCACAATAGTCAGAGCCCATCTGAAGCTAGGAGCCAGGAGCCTCTTCTGGGTCTCCCACATGGGTGCAGGGTCCCAAAGCTTTGGGCCGTCCTCGACTGCTTTCCCAGGCCACAAGCAGGCAGCTGAATAGAAAGTGGAGTAGCAGGGGTTAGAACCGGCACCCGTACAGGATCCCAGCATGTGCACGGTGAGGATTTAGCCACTGAACCATTGTGCCGGGCCCCTTATAAAGCATTCTTAACATTATTTTGAGGAGCATAATAGACTTTTAATATATCAAGTTTTTGTCAGGATTATCACGAAGGAGTTTTTTAAAAAGAAAACTACATGGAGATTTATTTTTGTCTCAAACATGCTCAGTAAAGACTTTCCTCTGATCCCAGAGGAATATCATGTTGCCGTCTAGGAGCTGTTCTTTTGGATCCCTGACAGCCGGTACATTGGACTTGTGGTTGTTCTAATGCAATCTTTTGTTTAAATTATTACCGGCCTGTGCCAGAATTTGACCTACCTCCTCGCCTTTCATTTAACCTCTCTGTGGATCAGCCACATGGGAACTTAACAGTACCTGTGATCGGATGCCTTGGTAGAAGAATGTATGCTTTGGGAATGTTTTTTAAAGCATAGGTTTGTTTTTGTTTTTGTTTTTGTTTTGTTTTTGCTATTTTTGCCAATGTCCTGAGTGTATTTATGATGTAATAATGGCATTAGGAATTCTGCCTGTAAATATGCAACAAAATCGGGCATGTTCTGAAATAAATGATTGTTGCTATAAATTTTCTCTAAATTTTGGGGAGGATGAAGGTTTTCTTTTCTTTTCTTTTTTTTTTTTTTAAAGATTTATTTCAAATTAATTGGAAAGGGAGATTTACAGAGAGAAGGAGACAGAGATATAAAGATCTTCCATCTGCTGGTCCAGCCCTCAAATGGCCACAAAGCTGATCCAAAGCCTGGAGCCAGGAGCTTGGAGTAGAGCAGCTGGGACGTGAACTGGCACCCATGTGGGATCCCAGCACTTGAAGGAGGAGAATTAGCCATTGAGCCACTGTGTCAGGCCAGAGGGAGGTTTTCTTAAAGAGAATGAGCAGTGCTTTTTAATTTTTTTTAAAAGATTTATTTTTATTGGTAAGATAGATTTTACAGAGAGGAGAGACACAGAAAGATTTTCTGTCTACTGGTTAACTCCCCAGATGGCTACAGTGCCTGGAGCTGAGCCCATCCAAAGCTAGTTTCTTCCGAGTCTCCCACATGGGCTTAGGGTCTCAAGGCCCCCGGGTCATGCTCTGCTGCTTGCATACTCTTTCTGCTATATGCAGGGAGCTGGATAGGAGGTAGAGCAGTTGGGACATGAACTGGCACTGGTGTCCATATGGCATCCTGGCAGTTGGAGGTTGAGACTTAGCCAGTTGAGTCATAGTTCTGGCTTTTTTTGTTGTTGTTGTTTTGTTTTAATAATTTGTGTTATTTCTAGTTTATTTTACAAACTTTACAAGTTTAAAGAAGTTACTGAATAATTTTCTCCTTGTTCCAGTAAACTTGGTATAATAGGGGATGAATCTGAAGTTTTTAATCCCTCAGAAGTAATCTGCTGATTTCATTTAAAGACTCTTATTAGAGAAGCCTTGGGGATTAAACTGAGGTTTATATTCATACCTTATCTGATCATGGCTGTGTGATAGTGTTGGGGAATCCAGTAGAGTTAAAATAAGACTGACATAAAGATACTTATAAAAGACTTATATTTTAGCAGTTTTATTTACAATTTTTTTATTCTTTTTTTTTTAAGATTTATTTATTTATTGGAAAGGCGGATATACAGAGAGGAGGAGAGACAGAGAGGAAGATCTTCCATTCGATGGTTTACTCCCCAAGTGGCCACAACAGCTGGAGCTGAGCCAATCCAAAGCCAGGAGCCAGGAGCTCTTTCGGGTCTGCCATGCGGGTGCAAGGTCCCAAGGCTTTGGGCCGTCCTCGACTGCTCTCCCAGGCACAAGCAGGGAGCTGGATGGGAAGCAGGACTGCTGGGATTAGAACCGGCGCTCGTATGGGATCCTGTTGCATGCAAGGCAAGGACTTTAACCACTAGGCCACGGTGCCAGGCCCCAATTTTTTTTTTTTTAATTCTTAGTGAAGGTATTAATAGTACTAAAAGATGTTGGTATTTTTAAAAAAGATTCATTTGAAAGGATGAGTTAGATGATGGGGTTGGGGGCGGGAGGAGAGTTTCTCCATCTGCTGGATTCCTCATAAAATGGCTACAAGAGCTGGAACTGAGATAGGCTGAAGCGAGAGCCTGGAATACTGTTGGAGTCTCCCAGCTGGTTGGCAGGGACCCAAGCAGTTGGGCCATCTTTTGTTATTTTCCCAGGTGCATTAGCAGGGAGCTGGATGGGAAGTGGATCAGCCGGGGTTCAAGCCAGTGTTCATATGTGATGTTGGCGTTGTAGGCAATGGCTTAACTCATTGTACTACGACCTCTCAAGTTTTTATTTTTCAGTGGAATTTCTAAAAATTTATTTTTTATTTGAAAGGCAGATTTACAGAGAGAGTGAGAGAGACAGAGCTTCCATCCAATGGTACACTCCCCAAATGGCCACGCTTGCTAGAGCCGAGCTGTATTGATCCAGGAGCCTCTTCTGGGTCTCCCATGTGGGCACAGGGTTTCAAGAACTTGAGTCGTTGTCCACTGCACTGCCAGGCCACAGACTGAGACCTGGAGTGGAAGTTTAGCAGCCAGGACATGAGCTGATGCCCATATGGGATGCCAGTACAGCAAGGCAGAGGATTAGCCTGTCGAGCCACCATGCCAGCCCCGCTTTTTCCTATAAATTTTATAGGATAGAATTTATTAGATGAATAAGTCAAGCAAGAAACAGTTTAC